TAAATCAGCAGTCAGACCTCGTAGAAAAAATAGAAATCCATGAAATTTGAGAACAAAAACATGTAACATTTTTAATACTTTAATCTATTTAGAATATGTCTAAACTAGTTTCTATCAAATTCAATGAAAATAAACTAATACAGATTTTTTTTTTTTAACTGGGGAAAATGTGTGCAAATTTCTTTTTCAACTACTTATGAATGCATAAATCATAGCAGGACATGTATCTAAAAAGGGCAAAACAAGGACATTTTGATGAGTTTTAACAGAAAAAAAATTCTGACTTTTTGGAAGTACAATGACTATAAGAGTACTGGCTTGTTTAAAGAAAACCAAAGGTCAGCACACGTTCACTTTTCTTTTCTAAAGCCAAGATCATTTCCATAAACATGTCTGGTCTGGTCTGTTGAGACCCAAACTGCTGCAGGAACACGCCGTCTTTTCACAAAAAAAATAATGAATGAGTCTGGGTGATGAAATTGAAATGAGCCACAGAATGTAGCAGATAGCTGCCTTGATGTAACATCCTGTTTTGATCTCCTTTCAAGCATAAGGTCATTTTGACGGCAGCTTTAGGTCATCAAATGTCATCAACTCGGCTGCTTTGAGGTGAAAATCTCATACTCTGTTGAACAATAATCTGTGAATCCTTTAAGATTAAAAAGACAAAACGAAAATGTTGCCTCGTCTACCATCAGGATCGTTTGACTGAAGAGTTGAAATGGATCTGGAAACTGTATACACTCATGTTGAAAATATTTTCCCACAACTAACAACCCATTTGAAAACCTTTGTCAGATGACAAAAACAAAAGGACATTGTGGTTCATTTCATCTTCACTAAATCTGAGGAAGACATTTTGAACATATTTTGTCCACAACCCTCCTCAGGTGATCCCATTGTTTTTTTTGGTTGAATTTAGTTTGAGACTTGGTCTACGGCATTCTAAAAGACACATTTTCATTTCATATTGTCATAACTATTTGTCAATAATTGGAAAATAAATGTTATGTGAAGACACATTACATGTGTCTTTAGATACTGACTAATTTTTCTACTGACTGATTTTTTTCACGATGAGATCTTTCTGATTCTTGAAAACCTTTCTCAAAGCTACAGCTTTCTTTAAATAATGCAAAAGGTTCACACAGGAAAGTTAATAACTACTTCACATTCGGTGCATTCAGTGGGAACAGAAAAAGACAAAATATTCTAAATGAGTCACAGAATGCCTCAATAAAATTCAAATGTGACCTATAGTGTTTTCTTTGGCTTTACAAAACATTTAACTATTTTGTTTTGCATAAAATAAATATCAGATCATGAGATTTCACCTAGTCAGTTCTGCCTAACTGTTTTAGAGTTCTCTTGTCACTTTTAATCCAAATACGCTGCTGCTGGCCACGCCCCCAACTCAACGTTTACACTCGCATCTGAAAATGGCTGCAAACAGATGCACACTTATACAACAGAAAAGCAGAAGTGGAGCCTCCAGCACAACCAACAAGAATGTAGCAAGTGGTTTGCGAATGTTAGGTCAACAACAAAATACTTGTCTTTTCCAGCAGCCATTGCACAGCAAATGCAGCAGTAAAACCAGCTGACCAAATGTGTTGGAGCTCAGTTTGGGTTGCTAGTTGACGAGGCTGTTCCTGTTGATTTTGAAATGGCTCACTTTCCAGATACCAAGACGGATGTATTTTTAGAAGCAGTAGAAACCCAAATGGAAGTATAAAAATGTGCAAAATTTAAAGCTGTGTACACTTCTACTCTCAGGTTATGGCACATTTTTATACGTTTTCATTTTCCCCTACTACATGATTTTTTTTCTCAAGTGAGTTTTGCTAGAGGAAATGTCATATTATATGTGAAAGATGTTTTGAAATGAAGTGTCAGAGTCTCATTTTGAACACGGCTGTTGCTGAGGAGGAGGTGGGGGTTTAGTCGGGTCAGCAGGGTTCTGCGGCGCAGACAGCAACATCTGCAGGGGCAAGACAGCGACAATTGGAGGAGCATAATAAGCTTTTGCTGCTACCTTAAACAGGTGCGTCCCACCAGGTGCGTCCCGAGGACAAAGACAGAGACAGACACAAGACGGCACACCCGACAACTCCGTCTCAGCTGCAGCTTTGCATATTGGACCAACAGGGAGCAAACATGCAACACTGAATCAATTTACTTTCACAGATATATCTGTCACTGCTAACCGCAGCCACACTCCGCGAAGACTGATGCGCTCACGCTGATGCGCTCACGCTGATGCGCTCCACTCCAGCTGGCTGTCTGAACATCACTCAATAATAGTAATCCCTGTTTTACCTGATGCCACAGCAAGCCACCATGACTAATGGCTTTCATTCAGTTTTATTATAAAGCAGAATCACATTTGCTGTGACTCTGAGAGACGGAAAAAAAATTATTAATTTATCCTCTAACGTATTTGATATCCAGTAAAACAAAACCAAAATAAAAAAAAAAAAAACACAAAAAAAACCCAGACCTTCTGTCACCACTTCATTTATCTGCAACTTATCTTAAGTTGGGCCACTTGTCTGATCTGAATCGCAGTAATCAAATAAATGTCCACTTCACTGATATTAAAGCTCTTCACATCTGACACTCAAAATAAAGGAAGTTGGTGAATAACGGCGTCTGTGCGCTGATTAAATGTAGCAGCACAGATTGAGCTTCAATCAGCGTTTAAACTCTGGCTTAGCCAGCTGGCAGCTAAGAAAAACATTTAGTTTTAGTTTTGAATGACTGAGAACACAATGTTTAATGCATTAGGTAACAAAACCACCTGTTAATATTTATCATTAGTCTCTCATGCCGTGTCAGGATAAAATAGCTTCATCTCATGGGAGAAGTGATGTGCTGGGAATAACAGCTGGATGTTTTCATCTCCAGATTTTCTATATTTTGGAAGTGATTTTTAAAAGTCTATAAGTTTGTTGAGCATTACGTTAGTAGGGTTTCTAAATCTCTTTGTTCTTAAACTCATGAAACAAGACAATTCAACTGTGTGGGAGAGAAACCCTTTGGTAATCTTTCATCAATCTGATGAATTTATATCAGCAGGATTAATTTATGTTTTCAATATATGTGATTAAAACAAACCAAAAACTGTCAATAAGTCAAATAACAAAATTATCAGTGCAATCTGAGGCGGTAACTCTAATTATGCGATTTAAATACAAATCAACATAAAAACAGTCTTTATGTTACAGAAACTCAGTTTTTCTTTTAGATTATGGAATAATGTCTGGAAACTTTTCCCACACTCTGTGTTCACTTTTCTTTACTCATCTCAACCTGGAAAGTGATCAAAGCAAAAATAAAAACTTTGTCAGACTTTTAAAGACTTCTGAGGATCCTTGCTTTAAGGAGGACCTTTGATATCGGATTTGCTCTTCAACCAATTCCCAAAAGAAACATTTGTCACCTTAACTACTAAACTCAGCACAGCTCAATCCATCTTAAGTAGTTTTTTTCCCCCACTGCAGAGTCTTCCCAGAGCCAGGGAAAGCACTAAGAGGGAGCCAGAACAGCATGAATGTGGGCTGTAAATGATAGCTGTTTCCTGAAAGTTAAATTGCTCAGCAGAGCTGTGGGGGACTGCAGATATAAGAGCTTTGTCAGTGGTGGGTTTGTCGCCTTAAGCAACCAATTTCACTTGATGCATAAGCAAGAGCCTGATGCAATGTCAACAATGACTACAATAGTTTTAAGAAAAGGGAATTTCTGTCATTCAAAAGTGGAAATTCATTGTGAAAATGCTCCTTAAATGTTATTACAGCGATCTCTGTTTTCTAATTAAGTTTATCAGAATCGCCAAAAGGCTTCATGGTTTCTCTTTTCCCTTTCCTCCTGTCACCGTCTACATGTCTTTCTCTTTATCCACTTCCTGCTTATCAGTCTGCAGTGCCGTAAATGCGAAATGTCATAATCATAAAATCTTTCTGGAAACTTCAGCATCCAGTGATGACAAGGTCCCAACGACTCAAACATAAACACACTGGCTTCCCTGGCAGAGAGCAGAGGCAGCATCAGCCAGGAAACCTCTGATTTCCCGTAAACCAATTTTTAAAAAAAGAGAGAAGCAACAAACGGAAGGGGAGCCATTGCTGGTTAATTGATTAGCTCGGTAATTGCAGTGGAAATGCATCTCTGAGGTTGATAAGAAAAGAAAGTGCATTGGCATATCCAGGAAATACACTGAAAAAAATAAGTCATTGGATGAACATAAAAAATTATGGAAAGGATTTCCACCTGATTACTTTGCTTTATTTCAGCACCATGTACTTGTGTTACTCCTATTTAAAGCAAATGTGTTAGGTCAACCTAATTTATTAAGATTATTCCAATGTAAAGCAAATGTGTTGGCTCAACTTGTTACAATGGTGATTCAATGGGTGATTCTAAATCAAACATGTTGGCTCAACGTAATATATTGTGGTTATTCTTATATAAATTAAATGAGTTGGCAAAACATAATTCATTAAGGTTGTTCTAATTTAAACCAAATATGTTGGCTTAACCAGAATTATGGTAATGCAATGGATGATTGTAAATCAAATGAGTTGGCTCAACTCCATTCATTAAGGTTATTCAAATTCAAATGAAATGTGTTGGCTCAACATATGTTTTAAAGGTTCCTTTAACTCAGTTACTGTAGCGTGACCCAGTGTAATGCAATACAGCCCGCCCAACTAATCTGCAATGTTTAGGACCAAATCATTGATGTAACTTCATTAAGACGAATCTAGTTGAAACCACCTTATTTTACAGTGGTACCTTCACACTACCTGATTCAGTAGGTCCAACTCACTAAAAGCAAGTTAGCTCAACAAATATGCTTCATGCTAAAAGACAGCTAGTTAATCATGTGGAAATCCTTTCCATTATTCATGACGTTAATTCAAAGACATATTTTCAAGCGTTAATCAAGCATTTTAAGATAGCACTAGGTGAAAGTGTAGGAAGAACACTCAACAATTAGAAAAGGTACAACACAATTGTATTTTCAGAATTGTTATACATCGTTTTTTTACACAGCACAAAACACAGCTGAGTTGGACATTGAAATAAAAAAAACACTACAAAAAGGTTACAGTTTCATTTCCCAGCCAATTCTTTACAACATAAAACATGTCAGTATAGTTGCTCAACTTAGAGAACTGTAACAATATAAATCTTTTCTACTGCAGACTTTAAACACTCATTTTCCATATGAAACTTTACTCAACTTAGCAGCGAGTTTCATATTGAGAACTTGTGCTTTCTTTGATAAGTTCTTTCCATCCAATTTCATTATTATTTCCTGTATTACTTCAAAGGTATGCTTGAGTTACTGAGCAAGTTGAGTGCTGAACGCACTAAACTTGAGGGTAGCTCAAGTTTAGTGCGTAGATTAGTCCCAGCAGCATCACTATTGCAGAAGATACACTGCCCAAGCTGTTCATAACTTCCACCTCCTCCAGGACAATCCCAACATCCAGATGTGCATCGGCAGCCTCTGCTCAAATGACGATTCCGAGGACAGTCTCGGCTTTGGCCATTTCATTCATCAACGTCCTAAGGGAGTTAGGGAAGGGTATTGGGGGGGGGAGACAATTCACATGTAATTAAGTAAATAAATTAAGACTGACATTGATTGAATCACTCATGGACCTTAGTTGGTGAAAGTATTTTAACAACTCTTAGGAGTTCTATTGTAAACACAAAGAGAATTTAACATACCATGTACTCCCTCACCAGCTTCTCTGGATCTTCATTTAGGTACACACAGACATTTGAGGATGCACTCTCGTCTGACCTCAGCAGTGTCTTCCTAAATATGCAGATCAAAAAACAATGAGAACAATCTCAAAACTCCAGCAGTATAGGTTCACACACTTGAAAACATAGCTACATTCAAAGGAAGTCACAACAAAAGTGATCAGTGGCTTGCAGTCTATTTGAAAGATATTTAAAATTGTTAGTATCCCTTCATTATGCCATGACTAAAATGGAGTTTAACATTTTATTTAAACATCTAACTGAAGCTGTTAGAGGTTTAAATAAAGACATGAATATATCACCAAAGAAATATGTGAAAAGTACAGAATGGTCAACACAGTCTATATCCTTCTACTTAAATGAATATGCAAAGCATTCCATGTCTTACAAGTACATACATGGACAGTCTATGTGTGGGCATGGATAACGTCGCATATGCCGGTGTTTAAGTGTAAAATGTTTTAACAGGTCATATCTACGAGACAGAGAGAGACTACACTCCTTACATTTCCACATCCCCACGCAAATAAAGACAAATAAAACAGACTGGCCAAATAAATGTTTAGCTGAACTCTAGCTCTATAAGCTCTCTAACACTACATTCAGTAACTTTAGATCTGGCAAAACTTACTATTAGCCACTGAAATCTATAACTTGATAGCCGATGACCCCTTGACCAGAACTTACGCAGGTGGATTACAGACAGGTGATGTTCTGAAAGAGATCAGATATATTTTCAGCCATTAAAATATGCAATTCATAGTGAACTGAGTTGTATCTTTTAGTACAAGTCCCTTGAATGCCTCATGAATATAACCACTGGACACATGCAAGCACGTATGTGCAGAACAATGGTGAATTGAACATGGTAGAAAGCAATAGTAACATAGGTCAAAATGAGCACAATCAACACAAAAAACATCAACATTTCAAAATTTTACCAATTTTACCAATGAACTTCAATATTGTTTCTGAGCTACAATTATTTGGGGACAACAAAGAAGAGTCCAAAAAACCCCAACATCTTTACAGCAGAGGAATATGTATTTTAAAGAAAAAAAAAAATAGAAAGCTCAAGTCTGTAATAATGGATAATCCATTGAGAGTTTTAACCTGACAAAATATACTAGAAATCCATAACTAACAGGTATTTTAGGAACATTTAACAAAGCTCAGAAAGCAATGCTTTCTGCAGGTTTCACCGACTGAAATGTAGGACTTTTTACTACCATAATTAATTAAGAATCTCGATGATTATAGAAAGGTACCAAAGTGTGTGTATCTACATTTACCTCCATAGTAACATTAATGAAATAGAATTAAAATAGTTAGAAATAGACTGATGTTAGATCCGTGTGTTAAAAATCCACTAAACCTCCAGGGAGCTCAGGAGGAGCAAAACTGTGACATTTCTGGGGTCCATTTGTGTCTCTGGCAGCAGCTTTGTGACCCTTACACTACATATGGCTCTGCAGACTTTTTTCGCACAGAATGTACCTAACATGGTGCGGCGATAAATGTAAACAAAAAGCTATCTGCCTTAACCTAACCGACTTAATCTACAGAACATGAAATAATGTGACGCAAGTATGGAACAAGTAGAAAATGGTAGAGAAATTTTAAGTTACATATTTTTATATGGATTCAGATGAAAATAGTTTGACTCTTACCTTCTTCAAATTAAGTGGATGCACGCCAGGAATCTCCCCTCTGCCCTTGAAAAAAACCCAACAAGGTGCAAGCCAGTTATCTCGCGTGATTTTCCGTAATCTCTTGACCTGGATCCTCTTCAGCGGGAGATGAGTCTGACACAATAGCGCTTTGGAACTGACGTCACTGTGTTTTTTTTTATTAGATTAACTTTGACAAATATTGATATTGAATAAAATAATTAAAAAAAAAACGTATATATATATATATATATATATATATATATATATATATATATATATATATATATATATATATATATATATATATATATATATATATATATATATATATATATATATATATATATATATATATATATATATATATATATCTTGGCACAGCCAAGATACTGCGCAGGACCCTCAAGCTCCCAGGCCTCTGGTAGAGGACCCGAGCTCAGAGGATAAGAACCACCCGCGGTGGGTATATATATGTTAATTAGATGTATTCAAGTTGAGATAACGTCATTCAATCACGTTAGTCCAGTTGAGAGAAAAAACCGATTGTCTCGCGTGTTCTCGCGTGATATCCCGTGATCTCACTCGTTGTCCTCAGCACAATATCAGTCTGACTATAATGAATCATGTTAGCTCAACATGATTCAATTTTATAAATGTGAAGTCGTGGAATATCTTGTTTATCCAACATGATTTTATCACGTTTTCGCTTCAAACCAAACATTATTGTGTGAAAGGTACATGATATTTTTTTGTTAATGTAATACGCCCCGACGTTCTTTTTTTTTGGCGGAAGATCTAGCTGACGTAATTGAATCACGTTATCTCACCTTGAATACATTTTATTCCATTTGCGAGAGAAAACCGATTGTCTCGCGTATTCTCGCGTGAACTTGCGTGATATCCCGTGATCTCACTCGTGGTCTTCAGCATAGGATCGGTCTGACTATAATGAATCATGTTCGCTCAACATGATTCAATTTATAAACGTTGAAGTTGTGGAATATCTTGTTTATGCAACATGATTGTATCATGTTTTTGGCTCAAACATGGAATTATTTAGTTAACAGTACATGATATTCTTTTGTTAATGTGATAACCCCTGAGGTTCCTTTTTTACAGTGTAGTAATCAGTCTCCGAGGCTTTCTCGCGGATGGCTGCAGTTTCTCTCATTGTGAATGCGACTGTATCCTGCCACTCTTTCTTTTTCTTTTTTAATCTGCGGTTTGCTGCATATTTATGTGTCCATGTGTGTAACTCTGTTTAGACTCACTGGGTAAAAATAAAAGCCTCCCACCTCCTGCTCTTTTACATTGCTTGCCAAAAGCAGCATAGCGGAATAAACAAATCAATATAGAATATTTTTCTATAGCTCATGGTTCAATTAAATAAATAAATGAATTAATTAATTAATGTGGAACTGACTATCAAAATGTAACGTTCCACTTAACACAAACAACAAAGAAAATTGGAATCTGGCTTCAGACTGTGGTTGCATAAGTTTATCTGTCTACTTATTAGAAATCACCCTTAATTTCCACTACTAACCTTTGTAGGTTCCAAATGATAAAATACCAAAATATTAATAAATGAGAGTTCAGCACCGCTCACAATTAATTTGATCTCAGAAGAGTATTTCTGAACTCTTCCTGAGTTAAAACTTTAGTATTATTGTTTCAAAATGAATATGACAGCTTCATCTCGATAAAATTGAATCAACCACTTAGCTCATATCCTGACAATATGTTAAATTTGAAAAGCTTCACCAGGTGAGCTGCCACCTCGAAACAAGCTGTGAGATCCAGATAAACGGCAGGCAAAGAAAACTGAAAGTTTAAATTTAATCAAAAAGTGGTTCAACAAACTATCACTCTAAAGGATGTCCACACAACATCGTCAGGAGTTGTTTTCTTATGTTTTTTTTATTATTTTCTGTGCTGCACTGCAGTACTTGTCAAAGAGGCATTTGATTGGTTAACCTTTCCAACATATCAGCTTCAGACAGGAGGAGCGGTAACATTATTCACAGACTCGGATGGCCATGGCAGACAGATAAATACAGTCAGGATTTGTTTTTCACCAAATAGTGAATAGCCCAGAATTGTTCTTTTTTTTAATGTACATTTTATATGTCCTTCCCATGCATGCAAGGTTTCTCTCTGGGTACTCCAACTTCCTCTCAGTCCTAAAACATTACTGTTTGCTACTTAAAAATTGTACTCAAGCTCTACTCAAGTAAAATTAAGAAGAAGCTACCCAAGAAATTATTAAGGTAAGGTTAAGAAGCCTTTTATGAATACTGAGTAACTGTTTAATCATAGCCAATGATGGAATATTAATAATGATGAGATCAGACTGATGAAAATATAAAATTATGTGCAAATGTTTACTCTTTAATGCAAATGAATAACAAAATAATTCAGCCAGGAGAAACACTTTCTAAGCAATTATTATTAATAAATAAACATATGTGTGTCTGTGTTTAATACATTTTTAATTAAAATGTTTTTTTTTCTTTCATTGAAGTTGTTTTATAAAATATCCAGAAGTTTTATTCAAAGTAGAAGTAGCAATGGTTCATAGAAATATTACCCAAGTAGCAGAGTAATAAAAATTAATTAGGAAAGTGCATTTGTCCAAAAAGTTACTCATATAAATGTAACAGAGTATATTAGTAAAGTAATTAAGCACGCTGGAATTCTGCTGATTTGTGACGTTAAATTTGGAAGGTTTTTTGAAACGGCTCATATTCCAGGCACCAGCAAAAAATTTTAACAAAAAACTAGATCCAAATACAAGTACATTAGGTACCCTTTAATCTATTATGTTTTAAAAAATATATCCTTGTTTTTAACCTCATAATTAGTCAAGCAGACCACCAGTACCAACACTAATAAATGTGCTTAATATAGGAGAGAGAAAATTCCTGCATAATAAATACTCGTTTATTACACTGGGTGTTAGTGTTAGACACCCAGAGTATTTCTTCTTCCAATTCTTCATATTATAATTCTAGTTTTGTTTTTTGTTTTCTCTGGCCAAAATGCCTCCCGCTCTTTTTCCTTCACTTCCTTCTCCTTCATTCTTTCGCCCTTGCCTCATGCCGAGCCCTTGGCTGTGGCGCGCTTTGCACCGGCTACGTCCTCACCTGTCACTACAGCTGCTCCCATCTGTCCTTTCTCACTTTGCCTTGCCCTGCGTCCATCTCTGCGACCTTGCTACACACAGAGGCCCCATCGTCTGTCTGCCCACAGCTCCTGTGTGCTTTTTACACAAACGGAGGAAAGAAAAAAAAAAAAAAACACGAAAGCAGGATTTGTTTGAAAATGCCGAGCTGCTTCTCTCAGCTCTCGTGTCTCTGCCAGCTCCTGTTTGTACTGTGGCAGGATTATTTGATTGTTTACTGGTTTACTTGTTGTCTGCTATCAATCAGCAGTGTTTACAGTACGTGTTCCTTTATAATACAGGATTACTGTGGGGAGATGGTGTGTGTGTGTGTGGGGGGGGAGGGTTTCTCGCTCAATAACCTGCTTTAACTATTCAACTGCTCTGAGGATTCTAGTTTAATTTCACTTGCATTTGGGAAATCTTTCATTTTATGCCCATCTGTTTGTTCATGTCTTTGAAAAAAGGAAAGTAAATCTGATTTGTCCGGTTTTTATTGATGTATTTTTGCTTCAAATAAAAACATTGGGATTTTGAATCAGTTGGATGCTGTAACCTGTTTTTTTTTCTTTCATAATGGCTCTCTAGTCGGATGTGTTTCAGTAATGAGGTGGCTTGATTGGCACAATTTACTTGACTGTTGATGATATCTACCAGATTTTTGAAACACAAGGAATTACATTTTATGACGTTTAAAACGGCATCAAGTACCTGATGCACGAGGAAACTTGTGGGAGTTTTGCCTGCAGACAATTGCCTGGAATTACCTAGAAGGATTTTACAAGTTAAATTGTCATCAGTTCGTATCCATTGCAGACTAAACATGCTGGCATTATTCTAGCATCTCAGGAAGATTTTCTGTTTCAAATAGCCAGAAAGTGGAAGATGGGAAGCTGTTGAAGGCTGTAGCTGTATTGAGAAGGATACAACGTCATTAAATTTTATTTGTCCCATGATATATTTCTCTTTGTGCTTTTTTCCATGCTTACAACATTGAAGTGGTTTGACAAACCAGCCCACAAAAAGTTACATTTATTATGGAAAAAGAAACAATACCTAAACTAACCTGGCAGCCTGACATCTGATATTATTGTGATGGTTTGGTGCTGCGGGAACTAGATGATTATACCTGATGAAAACATGGGTCTCTACTGGA